TAATATATATTAATCGTTGCTTTATCAGTTCTATGTTAAATCAATTTGCAAAATAAAATAGATAATGAGAAGTTCAAATGTTTTAAATGATGAAAAGAACAAAATACTGCACAAAATTTTGCTATGATTATATGGGATTAAAATGAAACAAACATCATGCTGTTGATGTGCAGATCCATTAACGATAGCAAACCAAATACGGCTGTACCAGCCAGCGTTGGACAAAAAATTGTCATGAATGTTAATAATATATTCACATTTCGCTTCTAAAAGCAACTATAGTGTTATGCTTTACAAATACAGTTGTTAAATTGCAAGTTATTGAATATTATGAGTAATATTAATTAACAACTGGTAGAGATTTAAATTTTAATGAACCTGTCCATATTGCCGTATGATGACATATACAACAGCTATCATCAGTGAAGCTCCGATGGTAAAATAGAAAATGGTTGAAAGGGCTGCCTTTTGTATTTCGTAGTTGACCAATTCATCGCCCAATAAGTACAGCTTCACCTTTGGATTAACACCCTTCTGGAAATTCTGAACGACTAATTTTCAAAAAATCTCCAAATTCAGTTGAAATCCAAGTCTACAAGTTTATTGATTATAAAAAAGACATCCTTCCTTAATGATCAAATGATAAAATTTACAAATACTTTTAGTGCTTTTGCAATGTAAGTTTTTAGGTATGATTCCAGAATCCAATTACTGTAATGATATAAGACGACATATACTTTGGTACAATATGTCACTTTTTGAAAAGGTGCAGTAATATATCACTTTTTGAGAATATGGGATTGATGATTTCGAAATTTAAAATTCTCTGTAGAGTATCTAATATTATAGATCTTTTGTGGATAAACTCTGAAATGATTCCGTTTAAAATTCTGGATTTTATTTTACAGTAGCGCACATTTAATGGTAAGTATGTAGAAGGGGCTTTAAATCCGCGGTTGTAGAAAAAGCAGACTTATTGTACATCATAGAAAATTTCAATTTCAATTAAGCTACTTTGAATAACGAAATAGTTCGTCTCATGATTTGTACAGAAAAGGGTCTCACTGTTAGTTGTTGGTACCATTGCAGTTCAGCAGCTTTAATTATATCAGAAGCGAGAAGATTGCTGGTATTGAATATCATCAAAAAACGCAGAGAAAAAACGGATCCTTTTGATGATCCATAGATGATGTGTTGTACTGACAAGTGCATTGAGCCAATACTTAAATAGGGGTATTGCAGTACAATTTTGGTGCTATTCGGCGATTTTGCATATTTCTGAAATTCTTATTGAAGCAATATTAATAGTTTAGAGAAGTGTTTTTCATAATTATGTTGGTATTAAAAAATTAACTATCAATCGAATAAACTTGTAGATTACATAGTTACGCTAACAAAGAATTATAATCCCTTAAGAGTGAATTGCACTGATTGAAACATATTGCTCATTTTACAATCATGGATGTTGGTATTTCATTAAGAAAAGCATGCAGATGGGCGAGGTATGACTTAACTTGCACGACTATGTCGCAGTGATGGCGAGAAAATTGTTTTAAAGTCCAAAATCTGGGTTAGCAAAATATTTCTGAAGTACTGGAAAAGAAATGTCTGAAGACGATTATCAGGGGTATCACTTTTGTTAGTGCACTTTCTGGTTTTTATAGAAATAAAAAATATGTAAAATCGAAAAACCTCTAATAATGAAAAATGGATTTCGCTTGAGTAAATTAAAAACTTTTGTAGGGATTGAAAATGTGAATTATAGAAATCATGCGGTGGAAGAACGGTCTGAAGACCGCGGATCGCTTCATTTTTCATTTCTGTTATATATTCATCCTTAAGCATCGAACAGCCAGGCTGGACGCATTCACCAATAAGGGCCATCTAAAAATATCATTTCGCTAAAAATTTTATTAGATCTCATTATCCTTTCTTTGCCAATAAACTGCAAACAACAACGTTCCCACCATATATGGCATCTTTGTGTAGTTGTAAAATTGCAGAAATTTGTTATGCTCTGCTACTGATTTCGAGTCCCTCAAAAAATAGCCGTCGCGGAAATTATCCTTGAAGTGTATTCTTTGCAGGCCTAGGCTTAGGAAAATACATATCTGGAAATTTAGATTTTTGAAGATTTAAAAGAAAATTTATTTATGCCTTCCTCACACTAGCTAGTCAGATAGTGTTATATTATAAATGGATTGAGTTAATTTCAGTATTTCTAAAACATCTATTACATTTTTTCCCCTCTATAAAATAGTCATAACCAGACTTGAGCAAAAGCATAAATGCTTGTTTCCCAGCATTTTATTTCATCGATTAGTTAATCGAGCTCTATGCCTCTCACTTACAAAGAAATCATTAGTAATTCCAAACGGTAGTAATTCCAAACGGAGAGTGGAAACATGAGAAAAAAAAGAATAGAGGTACGAATTAATTTTTAAAAGCCTTAGTCTTTATCGAGGAATTAAAGCTATAATAAAAAAAAATTTAATCACACTTCCAATCTCGATCTCATCTTAAGAATAATAGCATACTGCACTAACCAGATCAGACCCCCCATTAAGTATAGTTATAATTTCAGAGAGTATAAAATCATATTTCTTTTTTTGTATAATACAGTAACAACCATAAAAACTCACGCACACAATTACGTATGAAAAGTAGTTTGGATAATTATAAACATAATTGCCAAGCTGAAAAAATAAATATCGGTGTGCAGCCAGAAACGGATGACGCAGTAGATACATTCTCAACTTCTTTTCTTTATTGATTTCTGCAAAAGTCCTTCGAAAATTTTTCAGTTTGTTTTATCTCTCTCATAGAAATCCCTCAATAATTTTTGGCTTTATTTCATCCATTTACTAATTTTCATTTTCATCTACACAACAATGACAGAAGTCTGTATCATTTTGATTCCAATTTGAAAAGACGAAATCCAATAGATCACATTATAAATATGATTCACTATTTCTTATATAGTGTTCAATTCTTATTATTATCATTACTTTTCATTTTTTTTTGAATTCACCGGAAAAATATTTCTAATTTGTTATGCAATTTTTCTTACTCGTTTACAATAAGATACATTGAAGAAGAAACTCCATATAACTCATCATTTTTCATCAATTATTAAATAAAACCCCTAAAATTATTTGTGCGTTCTTTATGCTAATTTGAAAGCTAATATTCATCCACACGATGCTCTCTCATTCATAACGCTGAATACATCTACAGTAATATTTTTGTAATTAAAAAAAAATTCGAAAAAAGTTGATTGTTTAAGAATTTCGGAAAAGTCAAAATTACCCATTCTTCATATTTTGCAACAACGAATTAGCAAGGCAAAAAAGAAAAGGAAACAAAACACTACATTGATAATTACTGATAATAATCTGGAACATTCATGACAGTAGATAGCATCCTTCAATGATCTGAAAGGTTTTTCCCGCTGAAATAGTCAAAAATAAAACTGGCAGAATTTGGAAAAAAGCCAACAGATATGAAATGTATGAGAGTTATATATCGACACCTAAGCGGATTTCTAACTGGAAAATCTAACTGAAAACTTTGAATGCCACCTATTTTCTTTAGGTTCTATTTGGCAAAACGTAAAAAGAAATTGATTTTGAAAACAATAGTTAATTTCCGAACACATTATTTACTTTGATTCTGTATTTCTTTATTAATTATTGAACCGCAACTTTGCTGAGTTTTAGTTTATGGACTATCTCAATTAAATTCGTATTTTTTTATTTTTATCAATTTTTATTTTTTTATTCTCTACATTTAATAAGATAATAAAACTTTAAATCCATTTGTTTCTTAATTGCTCACTTTTATATTAACTAATGTTAATGCGAAATGTTTCTGTATAAACAAATTCAAATTTAATTCTGCATATTTTTTGAATTAATCACTAAAACTAATTTTCAGTATAACATTCCGGTTCTTTTGAAAATATTTGGGACCATTTCCACTGACCTGCGACTTTGTGAATGGAATATAATCACCAGTCATTAATCAATAAATCAGCACAAGCCAACGAAATAAGATATTTAGAATACGAAAATGGTGAATAGTGCATTTCTATAGTAAAATGTGGTAGAAATAATTTTTACAAAATATATTAAGAATTAAATTCAGAAGAACAACAACAAAAAAGGTATAACAACAACAGTATGTAAAAGGCCAAGTACGGCACATAGTATGATCGTTTCCGCGAACGTCACATACATGTAAACGTTATAAAAATAAAGAGGCAAAACGCATATAAATGTGGTTGTTGCTGCCTGAAATCATGGAAAAATATATTTAAAATCTATAAAAAATGAATTCCTTTTCAGATAATTGATTTTCATTGAAAATTCATCTTAAAACTATTGAAATGATAACCAAGAAGTATGTCAATCCAATGCATGAAGAGAATAACAGCAGCTGATAAGGAAATTCTACAAAAAGTATTTTACCTGAGCGGTGGCATAAGTGATAGCTTGTAGTGAAGAGGACATTCGATCTATAGGAGGTAGCATCGCATTCGTTACAAAATAATGGTAATTTATGTGTGCTGCATAATCAATTGTCAAGCCAATTGCCATCACAATGCTAATAGTTACAATAATATCCATATCAGCGCCCCATGCACTTAAACCGCCCACTATCCCTGCAAATCTGGCGCAGTTTTACACTTCAGGCTGAAGTAACTTCAGAAAAATGAACAATTTCGCACAAGATGTATATCGTGGTGACAAATGCTTGTTGCCTGAATACTAGAAATCAGTAAAATGATTACTTTTTCCAAAATTGCTTGACAAGATGATGATAGTTCCGATATTTGGCTCGAAATACATTACGAAATTACTTTTGAACTAGAAATGCCATCCACAGTGGACATTGCTGAGAATGAGTTCGTAAGGATCTTCAGACCTAAGCGGCAGTAATACGAATTCCTTCCACTCTTCCTCCCTCCCTCGTTCCCTTACTCATCCTATCTATTTTTTTTCGTCACTTACTACGTTAAATAACTTAAAGATGAAAATGTAGCAGACCTGTAGTGACTGAAATCATGGAGAGGAGGACAAAAGCAGTTGCTCGAGCGCTTGGAATGAAAAGTGAGCAAAGGACAAGCATAGAGATGGATGTTATAACACATGATTGAAGCATCGTTTCTCGAGCTGTCAATATGATATCAAATAGAGTGCAGTCGTAAGCGTATACCATCATTTCTTCAGGCATCTTTTTCCGGATCTGTTCATGAATAAAAGCTCGATCACGCCAATTACCGTATCCATGGATGCACAAGTCGAAGGATAATTTGTCAACTGTGGCAATTCCACTGCTAAATACTTTGATCAATTTCAGCTTCCAATTTTTGGACTTATGATTATAGTGCGTGAAAAGAGAATATACTATCCTGCAACGGAAATCTCTGTCGCAGTATTATAGTTTAAATTTCTTAAAGTGTTGCGACAAAAAATTTCGGTTGCTCAACAGTAATCTATTTTTCTGATGAATGAGAATTTTCGATTTTTTAAAAAACACATCAGCAATGTTGATAATTCCTTTGTTGAAATATAGAGCATAAACAAATGAAAATCATTCAAGAACCTATCAAATCGCAAAACTAAATTCTTTGCCAGTTCAGGATTATAATCTAGATATTTCATAATATTTTCAAAAAATTTCTCAGTAGTGCCATTTGTATGACCATATAGAGCAGCATATTCTTCAATCCAAGTTTTGTAATTTGGACACAAGCAATCAAGATTATGTACTTGCGTCACAATATTTAATAATTCTGTCGTCCTGTTTGGAATTTGTTTCACAAAGACAGGAAAGAGTTCATGCTCCATAAAAGCCTAAAACTTTCACTTTCACTGATGTTTAAAATATGAATGGTAAAATATGTGAAGTTATAAAATTTATTTCATTCCAGCATGACGGTCTTGGCGTTTTGTTAAACACAAAACTACTGTATTTTGTGTTTTCTAAGCTCATTTTATTTCTTAATAATGAAATGATTAGTTCATTATACAGACTGTGTCTTTTCTCTTAGATTAAATTTAGTCAAACCAAGTGTTTTGTCAATTTATTTAAGGCTTCCATACATATACATCTTTCGGCCTTGATCTAAATTGCATACATTTTCAAGAGTTGGCAATGAATCCGTGAGAAAAGAATCTGATCGGAATGTTTTTTGTGGTGTAAAATTTTCTTCCATTCGAAGCGCAAGATATATACTACAGATCCAAAAGGGAATGAGAATACACAGCAAAATAATCCTGGTGACAGGATGCATTAAAAATTCACAGTAGCTTTTCAAAGGTGATTTGCGCCTGAAAATAATGAATTGCATGATGATAGTATTTTGAAATCATTTAGGCAACAAAATTTAATAAGGTATTTTATATCAGTGTAATAAATTCTAACTTGTTTTGTTTTATTTTGCACTTGTTATCTTCTAATGATTGCTAAGGAACAAACCTTTTGTTGCTTTTCCTTGAAACATTGAATGAATAAGAGTGAATTTTTAATAGTGTAGGAGTAAATACTAAAATTTGGAATATCCAATCAAGCGTGAGTGCCAAAGCAGAACAGTAGCAAAATTCACGAATTGCATTCGGTGAAAGAAAACTGCCAACCTGTAGTATACATTCACTGGAAGCATAATATTTCAAATGACGGAACATTCTTTCTTTATTTTGAACAATTGATTCAACAAGTTCAACAGTTACCATAAAAGCGCAGATGTTTGTAACTGAAGTAAGAGTCACAGATGGACCAATTTCTACAAGTACTGAAGTTAAGCGAGATGAAAGATCTAATTCAACAGATGTGAACCATTTGTGTAGTACCAGAAATGCATCATCTACGCCAACAGCCAAAACCAAGAATGGTGTAATAAGCCTGATATAAACACTTTAAATTTCAAATGAAATTCCACTGTTCAAAACTTTCACCACAAAATCAGTAGAAGAAATGTAAGTGACACAATTTTATAGTTATAAAAATATTAACAATTAAAAAATATATAAATCAAAAATTAGAATGTTATAAAGTGTCCGTATCAATATGACTGAAATTAGTAAAAATTTTTTCACTAATAGTAGATTTGGAAGATTATTAGCCAACATGGATGAATTCAGTGTGCGGCCTAGAAGTGAAAATATAGCAACCGATGTTAAGCCAGCCAGGCATGGACAAAATGTGGTCCATAGCGTCAAAAAAACCGTTTGTAAAAATGTCTGAAATTATAATTGAAAAATTGTTTGAAACAATCAACAATTTTGACTTAAATAGAAACACCGACGATTATAAGCTTTCAAAATCAATTCAATTATTATTTTTGATTATACTTTATTATTTTTGTAAAAGATTTTGAGCTGATCCTTGACAGTTATTTTCAATCTACTGTTTAATTCCAAAGTAAAACTAAAATCAGAATAAAACTAACCTGATTATAATGGAGAATTGATAAAAATACAAAAATGACCATTGCAAATGAACCGGTAAAGAAATATGGTAATGAACCAACTGAACCCACAAAAATTTCACTGTTTACAATTTCGTCACCAAATAATCGAAAACGAACACCTGATTCACTTGACTTCTAAAAATTACTGTGGTTACGAAAACAAAAAAGTTGATTTCAGCTAACTCTGTTTTTATTTCACTATTTGTTTATGAGTATAAATTATTGAAGATGAATTCTAATCGTTAGAGCATATTGTTTCCAGTATTTGAGTAATCTTTGACCAACTATAAATACATCGTTAAGCGTTTATTTTCTGTTCCGTCTCATTCAGTAATTCACTTCTTTTGCTTCCAGTCGAACAATACCTTAAGCTTATTGCTCCATTCAACTTCAGTTCGTTTTATACTTGAAACAACATCCTCGTGATCGACAAATATGAAGAAGTACATCAGCATGCCAACAAAACCATTACTATAACGCCGAAAGACGTTCCTGGTTGTGAAGTTGATACCGTAAAGATTCATCGTTGGATAACCAAGCACTGCATTTTCATTTGATTGAATTTTGATTGCTTCCTAAAATTAGCTGCGACTTTCCGATTTTTTCAAGAAAAATATCGATCCATCTTTTATCGTTATCCAACGATTCATTGTTGGATAACCAAGCGCTGCATTTTTATTTTGATTGAATTTTAAAATCCGATTTTTCAAGAAAAATCAGCGGAATTAAGTGGTTCATAATTTTGAAATCACTGCAAAATAAATATTGAGTGTCAGCACGAAAATAGATTAGCTTTATGTCTTAAAAAAACGATAGGCTGTCGTTTACTTTTAAATATTTATCGATGAAATACTAACCGAAATAGCTTCATAAAACGGTTTTGAAGAAACGTATACATAAGAACCGAGCGTTTTATTCTGAAATCCGTCACCAACCAAATGCATACGTAATCCGCGTTCTGCTTCTTGTTCCATGGCAATAAACTTATCAGGTCGTAGCATCGAACTTCCATCGATGCTTTCACCAAAAAGTACTATCTGAATTTATGTAAATATAAATTTCGTTTGCGATTATTGTTCATACTTTATTTTCTATCCCAGTACTAGAAAAATTGGTAACCGCTAAATAAAGAAGGAAAGAAATAAATTTTTTATAACGCACTTCTGACGATAAAAACTAAGCACTAAGAATAACCGTATATGGATCAGATGTTAAGTTATAAAATCTTCGATAGTATTCTCTTTCCGACCATGATTTTGACATTGGCGTTGAAAAGTCTGTACGGAAATCATTCTTGAACTCCGCGTAAAAATTTGCAGTACATACTATTACTGCTACCTGAAATCGTTTATGTTTTGTATAATAAAAATAGTAATAGTCCAATGACAAATAAGAAATAATGAATTGATGAAAAAATATTGCGGAACAACTGGCTCTGCATAAATGTTAAATAAATTTGCATTATTCAGAAGAAGTTCGGTGGAGACTGTCCGGATTGCTAATTTTGGAATAAATGGATAAATCTGAAAAATAGTCAAAATTTCTAACTAAAGTCACTCTTATAAAGTTATAGAAGCAGAAAAGCGGGAAGGAAAGATAATTATTAAAAATACCGAAAACTGCTGCGAAAGAATTTCAAAAAGAAACTTACTGAATTCGAAGATGTAATAAAATTCGCTTAAAAATGTTTGTTCTCTGTTATTAGAAAAACTGGAATGAATTTAGCCTTTTAATTTTGAGAGTCACATAATTCGAGATGGCTATTTTTTAAAATAGAATTGATGGTTATATTCAGATTTTCGTGCGGCAACTTTTATGAAGTTTTTAAATGTAAGAATCAAGTGATGATTGAATACTTTTAGAGTCGCAATAATAGTTTTCTTACTTTTTGAATTACAAGAAGTAATAAACGATATAAACAAAGAACAAACATTTGATGTATTGTAATAGCATTAATTCGAAAAAACGGTAATCTATCAGATACAGAGGTTAAAATTTACTTCTCATCTGATATAATTTATTAGAAAACGTACCATAACACATGTTACTGTTAGAATTGTCGATTCGCGCGCGATTAAAGCACTTAATTTCGAAAAAAATTTGCTGTGAAATTCGATGATCATTAGGGAAAAGGTTGACCAGACAGAGATGTTTAGGGTTTCGGAACACAGTTGCTAGTTGGACAGTACCAGGAATGTATCTCTTATGTTTTGATTGTCAATGTGTTTCTGCGAATGGATACATTGATGAGTGTCATGCAGTACGATGAAGAAAATAGGAGAGAGTAGCGGTCAATTTCTTGCAGATGCATAATTTGGACAAGGGAGCAAAAGGGATCTGGGAATCGTTGAAGGTCAGTTTGCTTCCCAACACATTCCTGCAATTAACACCTGTTCATATAGCATTTGAAATATTCTTTCCTTTTTATGCCTCACAGCTAAAGTTAGTTAATAACTGTGCTGAAATATATTCTCATTAAAGATAGATTTATAAAATTAATGCATGGAAATGAAACCTTTTGGGTTTAAGAATACTAAAAACAATTAATATTGATTTGATAAGTAAATAAGTAACTAGTAGGTAAGAGAGTTAAAGAAAATCTTGAGAAACAATAGCAAATGAAGCTCAGCGGAAATCATTTATTAAGAAAAATTGCAGAATGAAAGCTTTAATATTTATTTTAAAATTTAGGCTTTGTTAACTTTTTTGCTTCCTTCCACTTGTAGCATGGATTTTAAGAATATCAATGTACAAATTATTAGCACTGTAGATATAAGCTCCTGTTTGTTTGTACTCGAAGTTTGTGACAAACAAGACCTGGAATAGAAAATTCTTCCTTTTTCATTTTTTGTTACCACAGAGAATCGCACAGTGGTCTTTGATTTCTTCGGACGCTTCGGTTACTGTCTCTTATTTAAATACTTATTTCTAGGCAGTTTTGTATAACAACAAGAACGACTAAGATCATTCATTTAGGGATTGGTTGTAATCCATTTGAATTGGTTTTCTTAAAAATTCAACAATGTTATACACAAAAAATTTATTTCCTGTCGGGTTTTGATTTTTTTTTTTGATCTCTCTGCTATTAATACTTAATTATTCCCAGTAACAGTAAGTAAAAATTATATATACATTGTATAAATTCTTCCACTAATGAAAAGTATTCATTATTTCGTTTCTGGTCACCTCGGAAGATGAATAGTTCTCAGCCCATAAATATTCTGGAAAATGGATAGATTTTTCTATCCCACTGATGACGTGTCATCTCTTTTTTCATAATTTTTAGCTTTTTAGCAGAGGAAAGTGATTACGTAATCTTCAAAAATTTTTTCGAAAAGATTTAGCAAGCTTTACCAATTTTTCTTCTTTTCATCTTTGACTGGGTGAATGAAATCCTGAAATGTTTGGAGAGAAAAGATTAAGAGGAAAAAATCGAGGAAAGAGAAGATTCATCTAGTACATTTATACTGTTATGTTGCTTACAATTTTCCAACAAAAAATAATGAACAACCAATAGAGCAAAGATGAAGACGATAGTGATAATGACGCGAGAATCGAACTCGAAAATTCAAGACACTTGAAAGCCCCTAATATTTAATTTAATTTCGGTTCCTTTTTTTATTAAAAATTTAACACTAATCTGATGTCTTATATTTTTAAGGTAGTTGAAAATGAAACGAAGATATTGCAATTTTAAAAGTTCATGACTTGTGCAGATATGTGTTTAGGAATTATTGAAATCAAATGAAGGATTTAGTGGAATGAAAAGGTAAATGAGACTTCAAATATCAGTTCGTGAACTAGCTTAGTTTAATTACTTTAATTACTTCATTTCAGTTCTTATCAATTAACTAATATAAATATGATCTTAGCTGTTTCTTTTATTTTTTTCTTGGTATGTGGAGCATACGCTGATGTAACATAACTGATGTGTCTAAAATGCGATTTCACTGTCAAAATTGAAAGATTTGTCGGAGTTATGTTCGCACATGTAATGAATTATTAATTTATGAAAATGATGACAATATAACACGTCAATATTTTTAGATTGGCATATTGCTCTCAGATAGCAGTAACTCGTTAATTTCTTTATAAAGCAATCTTAAGTATGCATGATTTGTTAACAACAGTAAGTGCACTTGAGAACATTATCAATATGACAAACAATTGTTGCTTATCACCTGAATCATATATTTAAGTAAAAAGTTATTTCTTTTAAATACAGCATTCGTGTGATAAGTGATTTTGCAGTTCTTATGGCAATTAAGTCTGTCGGAAAAAAAACAATTACGACGAATTTTATCAGATGAACATTTTTTAAATATCATCATTTTCCTGAAAGGCTCGTCATGAATTAATATTGAATTCCGATAATAAATGACAAAAAATAATATTGAAAAATAACCATAAGCATGAAACTTTTTTTATTAATCTTCTGAAAGATATCTGGCACAGACACACACTAGTTTCGAGGTTTAATTATAACTGCACATTTCTCAGCAGAGGAGTAGGTTGTTAACATCATATCTGAAAAATAAAGGTAGAAGTTATTAAAATTTGCTATAAACAGATAATATATGTAGGAGTGAAGTCCGGTTTTGTGAGAGAGTAAAGTATTCCTAAATTTTTGTCTCAAATTACGTTTACTTCCAAAAATGCTTTCGTTGAGTAAGTTTGTGGAAAAAATTCATTCCCTGTCGGATTGTTGGTTACCAAAAAATGGCAGTAACGAGTTTTGATTGGTAAGTATAAATGCAAAAGAAAACCATTCATCTAAATTGATTGAAAAGTTAGCAGCAATCAGTTTTATTTTTTATTGCCAAGTATCTTTCAGAATTTCTTGATGTACTCAATATTAGCAGTTGTGCCAATAATGCTAGTAATGGCGATCAAGTTCATCAGTTGCAAAAGGAGGTTGAAGATTACTAATTTACAAAAAAGGTCTAGTGGCACTCATTTTGCGCAATGCCTACTTCAATTGTTCAGAATTTTAAAAAAAAAGAAAAACATTTACTTGATTTCAAAACAGCAGTTTCATGACCTGATCTTGATGCTGAAACAAACGATTATTAAAATATTTTCAGAAATTTGTTTTTTCTTTATTGATATAAAAAATGACAATTTTAAAAGTTTTGGATTTTAAATTAAAAACTTCGATTAAAGATACTTGCGATTGAAAATGGATTTAAAGGAAGGACATGTTTAAAATTCTGATATCGAATTATCAAAAAGATTAGTGTAGTAATTTGTCTTCTTTTATAAATGAAGTTTATTACGAAATTCAATTTCTACCATTTTACAACCGATCATTTAACCTGGATGCTTTCAAAGTTAATTTTCAATATTTCATTGATAATTTTTTACTGATAACTTTACTATTACTAATTCGCAGTTGGGAAATATACAGCAAACAAAAAATTACTTTTTCCTCCTTGTGTTCTTTTTCTTCGGACTCTTCTGAAAAACAAAATAATGTCATTGGAAGATTGGTGACAATAATCTCAAGTTTCGCTTGAAATTTGACTAAATTTTAATCTATTTGATTGAAATTTACAATAGAAAGCAGAGTATTTTTTGATCATAAAAATGCTTCAATATATTTCCCCAATTTTGCAAGTAAAACGTTAATTAGTGTATGATAGAGTAAAAGCAATATTATCAAACAATGGAATACTAACTTTTGTGCTCCTTACTATCCTCGTTGACATGTTGATCCTTATCGTGTTGTTCCTTCTGATCTGATTCCATCTGTTCCTCATCTCCATGATGATGACAGAAACAGTGACAGTGTTCACCACTTCCCTTCTTTTTGTGTTCCTTATCTTCCTGCTCCTTATCATAGCTTCCTTTATGTTTCGGACACTGACAGTGGCATTGACAATCGTGATTATGTTCACTACTATCCGAACGATTACCTAGATGTTCATGAGTACCTTTATGATGATGATAATTATCTCCATGAATTTCTGTGTCATTTTTATGAGTATGTTCATGTTCATGTTCATGGCTCTCCGTGTCATTGTCATGATGACTATGGCATTTACAGTAATAATGTATTTTCTTTTCATGATGATGATCCTCGTCATGATGTTCTTTGCTATGACTTTCATGGCTTCCAGAACAATTGTGATGCTCATGATTGGAATCGTTTTGATGTTCATGGCCATGTTCTTGATGCTTGTCGTGATTTACATCTGTCTCATTCCTGTGATCTTCTTGTCCTGCATCATCTCGCTTTATTCGCATCGCTTGAATATCATTCAAAGCAAGACAGATTAAAACCACAGCCACAAAAAACATCATTTGCAATCTCCGGGTCGTCATCCTTAACAAATGAGGTCAATGAATTAAAATTCCCTTGCAGTATCAGCGACGAATTTAAAACTTCCTTTTATATTTAACGTTTCAATTTTTAATAATTTCAAACATGAAATTAATTCAAGATTGTAGTGAGTAATAAGAATTGCTAAAATATAAATGTAATGAGTTCGACTCATGGTAAATGGACAAACTGCTTCAAATTTTTAAAATTAGATCCACTTACGAATTATACGGTTTATTCAATTGTCTGTTGGATAAGTCATTTTAATTCATGTTTAAATATTTACGTCTTGCAGGAAATGTCTAGCAAAAATGTTTGTACATAGAGCAAACTTTGGATGTTCACAACTCAAAATTTCGATAAGTGTCTTTGATCTTTTCAAATTACTAACATTAACAAACTTGAAAAATATAACAGTACTATTCACAACTAAAAATCTCTATATCCGATGCTAAAAATTTTACAAAGCTTTCCAAGTGTGTCTACTTTTTTTACATTTGTAGCAACTTTCCTGATTCGTATTATTGGAAAAGTTAAAGTCTCAATGCAAGTATAGTAAAAAAAGTATCTAAAAAATTATATTTGGATAACTCACCTTATATTATATAACTCTACTTCGAGAAATAAAATCCTTTCTGTTTCAATTTGATTTTTGACAGTAGGATGAATGTAGATAAAAGAATTGCAAGGTTGTTAAACAAATATCACAAATTTTATTTGAAATGAAATGATGCAAAGAATCTGTTATAGTCAATAAAATAGGTTTGCTAAAATATTCCAACGTTACTTAAAACCGAATTCTATTATATACACTACCGAGAACCATTCAACAACTGTGGAATTCAACAATTGTGACACTGTGACAGTAAATAATTTTTATATTACCAATCATAGCAATTTAAAGTATACTACGCACTATCACGACGTGCCCTCTTTACTTTCTTGGAGAGGTAAAAGCATTATTACGCCAAGACATTTTCCAAACCAACTATTTTCATCCCGGCAGGTCGATAGCATTATTTTTTACCTAAATGTTGTAAAAATAAAAGTAATTTTCAGCCTGTTTACTCCAAATTTTAAGTTTTGAAATTATTCACCCGTGAAAAATAAAATATCAGAGTTGGCACTTCTTCCTTCCAAAATATTACCATATTAGTTGTCGTGTTGTGTCAAGCAAAATTAAACGCTTGTTTCAAATGCTTTTCGATATCAGAGTAGCACATTACTTGAAAACAATAATGAAAACAGAGGTCCAAAATGTTTTGGCCGGAAGAAAAGGCGGGGAGGGAAAAGAAAGTAAGAAAATTTTGAGATTTGTCGATTGAAAACAAATCTTGAAAGAGTTCATTTTTTAAACTAATGTTTTTCTACATGAGTTCATTACGTTACTTAATGAAAGTTTTTTTTCGTGATAAATATTTACAATGTCCTGCAAGCAATGCTGTTTCTCATACAAAAAGTAATTAAGTGCAGCGCAGTTGTCCTGAAAGCTACTTCACTCGATCTTAGATTGGCTGGTAAAAGCGAAGCAAGAAAGGATCATTGGTTAAAAATGAAGATTATTGAGAGATCTATGGAGTTTAAACCGAAAATGAGTCACCGATGACTCACATTTAGCTATAGCTGTTTTTTTAGCAGAGAAGTATGGCAAATATGCGTCAAGTTAAAAAGCTCCACATCTTGGTTGTTTGAAAAAAACGAACATTTGATATGATATCAATAACAATACTTTGCAAATGACAGAAAAATCACCTTGTGGATTGTCCTCAGTCTATATATACTAGACAATGATAAATAATGTTGGAAATTTAGTGCGGAACGGAATTTGTTTAGTAAAATGTTGCCAGACTTTTTTTCTTTTTAAGTTATAGTTCTAATTCATTTTTCAGTTTTCTTGCAAATGAACATTTTTACAAATGCTGCAATAAATCGGCAGGATCTGTTTTTTGTTCAGCAAAAAAAGCGTCGTAGTAAGTAACAAAAGGAACTGAAGTGTGAAAGAAAAATTGAGAATTCTCATTTTCAGAATCACTTCTCAATATTTGATGTTTGCTTTTACATGCTGCATTATATCATTATTTATTACAATATCTCTTGTCCCTAATGGAATTTTGTTCATTATAACTTTCGTGACAAAAAAATTTTCTTCCAGATTTCACATATGTCATATTGAACTTCCTTCACATAGATGAAATTTTTAGATGAAAAATGAGGACATATGAACAAGGGTTTAAATACTAGTGTGGATGTCATTACCAATATTACTATATACCCTAATTTCGAGATTATCTAAATTTTGCTAATGTTATTTTGACTTCCACACAGTAAGGAGGAAATAAAGGTCTGTATATTTCCTATGATACGAAATATAAAGTTCTATTTTTTTGCAAAAATTTGATAGCTAGCCTACCAGTATTTTACATTAATAGTTGGTAAAGCCAAAAAGAACTAACAAATGAATTTAATTTCAAAAGCAAAATTAAAGTTCTAATTTAATTTTGTCTTTCAAAATAAAATAAAATATAAATAATTTGCAAGAAAATTAATTTGAATTCGATTATGCAGGAAATTTAGAAAGAAAAGGAGGAAATTACATCAATCAACCATCTCTTTAGGGACATTTTTAAATTACGGTTAATTGTGTCTCTCAATATTCACATTCGTTACTTTAAGGTAGGAATGATAAAATGATAACTTCAATAATGTTGATTAGGAAATTTCATGTTGATATCTTGTAGGCGAAATAAAATGCACGCCTGGACGTCTGATCACTGAAACTTGCAAACAATGGATAGTGTCCAACCGCATTCTGTATAAATCTATTGCACCCGCCGAAGCCTATTGTTTTGAGTGTTTGGATATTTCTGATATATTGGTCGGTACTGTATTAAATGAAGCAGTAATACGGTGCGAACGATGCAAAAAATAAAAGATAAATTATAGGATAAAAGAAAAATATTTAACTTCAATTAAATATAAACACAATATTACCCGAATTACGTCCTTTATGCAGAGGTTAATCTTCGATTACATGAGAAAGGTACCAAAAATTTATTTTGGAATGAGCTGAATGGCTGTTTAAAAATTTACAGAATTTATGTAATGGTAAAAAAGAAGTCGGACGAAATGAAATGAAAGAAAACCAAAGGTGAGAAGCAAACTGAAGCTCACCCAGTTAAAACTTAAAAATTTCAAGTTGGCGTGGAGTTTATAACAGCTGTTCAAGTAACACATAGACATCAAGTGGTTTGAAATTTTCGAAAAAGGCTTCGCTGAAATAGGGGAAGAAGCTAAGATGCTGTTGAAATTAAGCAGTCTGTCAATAACGCTCTGTCTGTTATTACTCTATTTCTGCTGCTATTTCTCTGAATGTTACTAACGTTGATAATAACGGTAGAACTGATGCATATTCAGCGCAAGCCTACCCGTAGTCTGGCTTGCATTGAAAATAATTCATCAGCAACACTTCTTATCTCAAATCATTAACATACAAACTTTTTTTCCGAGCAATGTGCACAATGGTATCACACAAAGATTATCTAAAATAAAACAGATTAACAGCAATTTAATTCCATTATTAAATGGTAATCACTATAACGTTTTAATCGAACCATTTCATAGAATTCTTAAAATCTAACAGACTGAATTAATAAAATAATTGGTATATTAGACCTAATTCAGAAAACAGATCTTCGAGGAATCGTAAACCTTCTTCGATTTGATCGCTCCATATTTTTATATCATGATAAGAGATACATTATGTTAAATTCTCCTCAATTCTTCAGTTTTGTAAGAAAAATGGAAGTGCTTACTTGGAATGGCATAATAACAGTAGTTCTATTTCAATCTTTTAAATTATAAATATACATAGTATATTTATAACTAAAATTTATTGAAATTAATGGATTGGTTTTTGATGGTCATAGACCTGCTTATCGAAGTTCTTTTTTACCAACCCTCAAAACACTGCACTCCGTTCTATTGTGAATAAATGACTGCATGTTATACACTCAGTCTTTTTTTTTCTTAGACATAAAAATTTGTGCAAATATGAGCTCATTCTTCAAATATGAAGCTTATGGATTTATGGCAACTAAAGGACACTACACAATGCAATTAATTATAATTTGAGAAGAAGAAATGTTTGATAAGAAATAAACGTCGACCAAGAACAAACTGAATTCGGATGCTGAAAGAGAAGTCTAGAAAGAGAACTTGAAGTGAAAGCTGTGCAAAAGACGAAAATAATTTTACAAATGAGGGCACCATCCGAAAACAGTTGTTAAAGTGGTTCTAAGGTCGTTCGCTTTTTTGATTAATTTTCTCATCTTCACTTGGCTTCCAGCCGACTCAATTTCTCTGCCTAAAAGTGAGAATTAAATATCTTTTGATTTATGGATGGTTTATAAGGTAGAAACAAACTAGTCAATGCTTCAAGAAGTAGATCGGTGAGAAGTTTCCATTTTCCTTAACTGGGGGATATTACAACAGGTGCGGATTCAAATAAGAACAATTCTGAAATCAATGTTAACAAAGAAAAAGTAGTGCTAGTGCGGATGATCCTATATATTATTACTTGATATTAAGAAATCTGAATCTCTATGATTAATTTTATCAAAAATAGCGTGATTATGGTTTATCATTAACTGATCCATTTTGCATTTTCGTTTTTTTCGGGGTTTTACAGACTTAGATTTTTAGCAATTAAATATTTATTTTCCAGGTAAGTTACGAATAAACGGCAGAAATTAAAGGTTTAACAATGCCATAGATTTTGCAATATTTATTCAGCAATTGACAATAATTAATTGCTTAACTTGGCATTTTCCGTGTTCCCAGGTGAAATTTAAACGATGCCTTTCTCACCTTTCTTTTTTTTTTCTAGTACTTGTATTTGAGATATACTGTTTATAAATTAAAATTAAATTAACTATTGTTAATATTACTGTGTATTAAATTCACAAATTTCTAAAAAGTGATTGGAAAAACATGATGCATACTT